TTTATGTAACATTTGTTATATGAATTTTGTAGAAAATCCTTTAAAAAGAGAACCTAGGAGAGTAAAAACCACAGATGAGGAAGAGGAAGAGGAAGAAAACCAGAAAGCTCAAGGCCTCTTAACTAATCAAGATCAAATGTCTTCTAATGAGTTAATGTCTGAATTAGAATCATTAGACCAGGACTTACTAAGTGAAGAAACTAAAGAACAAGTTACTAACTTACTAACTGAATTAGAACAAAAAAAAAGAAAAAGAGAAGCAAAAAAAAAGAGCAGTTAGAAAATGAAAATAAAAATGTTTATGAATTTGAGGAAGAAGAACCAAAACCTTTCTCTCTTTCTGATTTGGAACAATTAGAACAGTTTTTTGTTTTCTTAAGAGTGATAATAAATTAGTAGTTGAATACCATAATAATAATAATAAAGTTGGTTACAACAAATATTTAATTATTTAAAAAGTACTAGTAAAACCTCTTTATCTCAATTGGAACTTAACCAAATAGTTACTGAGCAAAAGCAAGAACAATTACCCTCAACTGACTCAACCAATTATTTATCTTATTTATTATTAGGAGAAATAATAGGGGTGGCAATAGGAGTTTTTGTATATTTGACAAGAAGAAAAAATTTAAGCAAAGTAGTGTTAATTACACATGTTTATTACACTAAGAAGTTTATTTTTCTTCAAAACTTCCTTTTCTTTTTAGGTTCTTCATAAACTTTGTGTTAAATTTCTTTTATTAGTTATAATCTTACTTTTCTCTTGGTAAATTTCATAAGTAATCTTTTCTTTCCTTAGATAATCCTCCAGTGTCTTAGTATCATTTATTTTGAAAACATAAGGAGCAATTTTTTCACCTTGTTCTTTTTTCAAAATACTTCTGATGGTACTATAATTCTTGGGTTCCATAGTAGATCTGATGTAAATTAATTTCATATTAACTATTTTATATAGGAGTAGTACTATATATCACTTAAAATAGCAAATGGGATATTATAAAGCTGTTAATTATGATCACATTACAAATGACTAAATCTTGACCCCTGAAATTCTTGGTAACATCAATGTTCACTTTGTCTGGTTTTGTTGCAGTATGCCCCATATATAAATGATAATCAGTTGTTATTAAAATTAATTAAAAAAAAGAGCTATTTATTATTGCAAAAATGGATATAAATGAAAATTTAGAAGCACAACTGAAAAAGGAAGAAGCAATAGGAAATTTAATAAAATTGGTAGTCGTGTAATTAATTTTTTGTTTAATTATATTCATGTTTATACGCACACTAATTTAAAAGTCACTTTTTTTGTCAATGACACTAAGGACTTTCCATTGTATGTCAATTCTATTAAACTTGATGGAGTAAAAAAAACACGTAGAAATTTCTTAGAACAAATCTTTAATCCTATACTTAAAGCTAGAACACTTGGTTCAATTATTGATGAAATTCAAATATCCATTGATAAATTGTACCGTCTTGACATTTTCGAGAATTTTGATATATTACTTGACACTAGTAACAACCAATTGACTCAGATAGATGTAATTGATGTTTTATTGTCGGTGGAGGAAAAGAAGAGGTTTTTTATGAAAACTGGCACAGAGATTGGAAACGATTCTGGAAGTGCGGTAAACTTTTTTTTTGACGACAAATTGTTTATTATAATGATGATAAAATTTAGCATATGATTAAAGAAGCTTCATTTTTCTAAATTTTGTAGAATTTGTCATTGAATGTTCGTAATCTTTTCGGTGGTGCAGAAACATTGGAAGCCTATATGGCGACTAGCACTCAAACTTCGCGCATATTCCAGGTAAAGACCTCATTCATAAAAAAAATTTTTATAATAAAATAAAATAAAAGTTACAAGTATTATATTCGTATTATATAATTTTTACATATTGTTTAGTTTTGTTTAGCAACACCAATTAATGGAAATCCAGATTCCAAAATTGACATTTCAGCTTTTAGAATGACAAAAAGTAATCAGTTGTACAGTTCTCATGATGAAATCTTAAAAGGTTCTGCATTAAGATGGAGAGTAAGTTTTATCGTAATCCTTCAGTTTAAATATAATAAATTTTATATGTTGTTTTTGATAATAATAATATCTGGTCTTTTGTTATATTAATTTTTAGGGAATATCAAAATTAGGATTTCACGAATTGAATTATGGTCTTATTTGGAGGCAAATTTGCAATATTAATAATGATGCGACTCTAAGGTATTTGATTTATTATAAAGATCTTTCATGCATTTGCTCTAATTAAATTAATTGTTTTAATGTTTATAGTATACGTGAATCTGCAGGTCATTCATTAAAATCATCCATAAGTCATACTTTTATTTATGATAAGCGCGATGATATAATATTACCATCCAGTGGTTATTACTTCAAATTATTTCAGGTATTTCTATATTGACTAATAAAATAAATAAAATACAAAGTTGCTTGATAATCTTTATATATATACATATATTATAGGAAGTTGCCGGATTTGGAGGAGATGTAAACTTTATTAAAAATGAAATAGAAAATCAAATCAATTATCCACTCGGTGAAGGCTTTGTATGGTTTATATGACAATTTTCTTTATTATTTAATAAATAAAGTAATGAAATTTTTTTTTTGATAAAAATTTTAGATTTTTAGTGCCTCATTAAGAAATGGAATTTTGTATCCATTAAAAGACAAATCAAATATTAGTGATAGATTTTTCCTTGGGGGTGCTCAATCTGTAAGAGGATTTAAATTAAATGGCCTTGGTCCAAGGGAAGATAAAAGTATGAAATAATTAACCTACAAAAGTTGCATTAATTTATTTAAATTGATAAATAAATTGATTGATTGACAATCTGATTTGATATTTTAGAGGATTCTTTAGGTGGTGATATTTATTTAGCAGGTGGGATTAGTTTATTCACTCCATTACCAAAATTAAGGAAATATCCTGTTAAAGGTCATTTATTTATAAATGGAGGTAGTTTAATAGAATTTGATTCTCGTAAGTAAATATTCTCATATCCTTTAGTATAAAGAAACATTTGTTTATAATTTATTTATTGTATAAAAATTTTTTTTAGGTAGAAATTTCCTTAATAATTTCAAAAATCTGACAAAAACACCTAGTATATCTGCCGGCATAGGTATTGCATACAAAAGTAGCATTTTAAGATTTGAAATAAATTTTTGTTTGCCATTAATTGCAACAGCCTCTGATAAATTAAAAAGATTCCAGCTAGGTTTAGGAATAAATTTCTGGTGAAAAGCTGAAAATAAATAAATTCAATAAAACAAGATGGCCCTGATAATCAACTGTTCTATAAAGGGCTACAGTGTACGGCACAATAGTTACAGTGTTATGACCACGATCTAAATAGTTTTTTTGCCTTTTTGTTCATATCAAAGGCCAAAAATAATAAACCTTTAGGAAGTTGCACTGGATTTCCAGCTAAATTTGAGAAATTTGAAAAAGCTACCAGAACTCAAGGAATAATTATCAATATCTAGTATTTTTGGGGGATTTTACTATTAAATACTTAATTACATATGATGGCGGAAAAATATTTTAAATTTCTCGCTCCATAGATAGCATTCACTGCCACAGAACACTTCAAGTTTTTCTCTCTCAAATTGATTTTCATTCTCATTACATATAACTGTTTTTATGAATTCTGTGACAACCGGATTTCGCCCAGCAAGTCATTCAAAAAGTTGAATAACCTAAAAGGTTATCCAAACTAAATCTTTTCTGATCGCTCATTAAATTTATAATATCATCATCCATCATATACATTTTTACGTTCTCTTTTAGCAATTTTTCTTATATACAAATTCAATTCTTGTTTGTTGATTGTTGAATGTATTATTCAATTTCTCTTTCAATTCTTGATTTTTAGATATTAATATTGAATTTTGTAATTTTAGTTCGTTGATGCTCCTATGATATTAATATACTCTATTTTGTTGAGCCTCAGATTGGTTTAATAGTTCCT